TTTTTTTTTTTAAGGGTACCCCGTTGTATAGTTCTTACATTTTACTATCATACTAGTTAAGATGAGAACATTCTGTGACTAGATATTCAATTATTACTGAAGATGACATCTTGTTCATGACTAACTTAACAAAACAAATGTGAACATAAGCCATTGGCTCGATAACAGAAATAATTTCATTAAACAGAACTGATTGTTGTAATAAAAAAGCCTGCTAAGTAAACTTTCAATTTACATTAAGGGTGTATATCTTAAGCCACAGAATTAAACAATGAACACTTACCTGCGAGGATGGTTGGCATCAAACAATGTGTTATTGTCATCCTCATCATCTTGTTCTAAAGGTGTCAATTCCATGTTTTCTATGTTAGTGTCCAACACGCCATATCTTCTTGTCTTTCGGTTTCTTCTTCTCATTCTATTACATCAAAAATAAATTTTAATATATAATACATACTTTTATATTTATTTTGAAAGTAAAAATAAACTATTAGGGGATACATTTACCTTTGACACAAGAAGCAACTAATATCAAAGCTGCATTTCAGGAATCCATTTATTGTTTAGGATTACTTAAAAATGATGAAGAAACATGTTTGTATGTTATTATTTCTTCTGTCTGAAACACTTTCACTCCCTCTGACAACGCATGGTATTGATTATCCTTTAAGTCTTAAAGTAACAAATCTTTACTAAATCGTTGCCTTTTGCCCACCTACCTCCACCAACATGTAGGATTAGGTACTCTTTCCTTACAAGAAATGCACTAACATATTCACATTCTAGACCCATGGTTCCAAATTCTGGTTGTGTATCAGAATCATCTGGAGTAGTTAAAAAAGTTCTAAGCTCAGGCTATACCTTCACACCAATACAATGAGACTCACCAAGAATGGACATTAGGCATCAACACTTTGTTTAACGTTTACAAATGATCCAGTGTGCTAAAATCCAGTACCCTAGATCAGTGGTTCTAGAAGTTCAGGTTCCTGGATCATAAAAGTAAACATTACTTACATTCATTTTAAGATAGAAATCTTAGAGACCAACCTCAGGCATAATAAATAAGAAGCTTTGAAGATGGGAACCAGAAATGTTTTTAATAACCCCACCTTGTGATTTGTTAGGAGAACTCCTGAAATGGAGGGTGGAATGACTGTAAACTGCTGAACAGTCATTGTTGTCACTTGTGCACAGGAAAGGTTTCAGGACTTGGAGCCCTCCCCAGTATCTCTCTCAGATACCTTCTCTTTTCGTCAAGCCATTTAATCAAATTGTCATTTAAAACCGGTAAATGTTTACTTAGTTATTTATGAAGAGCCCAATTGGCATACTGATTATGAATTGAGTTATAAATGATTAGCATGGTCCTTCTAGTCATATTCTTTATGTGAGACTATAATTTGGGACTTCAAATGCCTGTGACTATAGTCTCATTTAAAGGGTGTTCTCTGCTAACAAACAGGGCAGAATGGGATTGAGATCTGATGATAGTAGAGGGTATGAATCAAGCCACAATATTGGTTTCCTTTGTGTCATCTATAAGATTCTACCTTAGAACAGGGCATGAACCAGGCCTCACTGTTTTCCTTGGATACACACTGGTGCTGTCATACAAAACCCATTCATTCACTGCCTTCTCTGGAAAGCTACACTGCTATTTCCTGACTCAGCTTGGTAGAAGTAAGAAGACCTACTTTGGATTTGGGACATTTTGGCTTCTAGCTCTGGACCTTGCTGTTGACTTAGCTGTCTGACCTTTGGATATTGGACCTGTCCTCAAAATTTTGTGAGTTTCCGTGTGACACTGCAGCGATTTGCAGAACCCAGTGATGCAGTGCAGCAATATACTCAAGAAGAGTGGGGAGATAATGGCGCAAAGAGTACTTGGAAGAGTTGGAATATGTGGGACAGCTTCAATCTCCAACTCCTTGGAAGTAGTCTGGTATTAATTCTTTTTTTTTTTTTTGCTTTTCAACTTTTTTTAAAAAATCATTTTATTAGGGGCCCCCACAACTCATCACATTCCATACATACATCAATTGTGTAAAGTGCATTTGTACATTCATTGCCCTCATCATTCTCAAAACATTTTCTCTCCACTTAAATCCCGGGCATTAGGTCCTCATTTTTCCCCTCCCTCATAAGCCCTTGATAATTTATAAATTGTTATTTTGTCATATCTTACAAAAGAAATGATTACCACAATTGGTGTCAGATTGGCAGTACTTGCTGCAATAGCTCTGACTCACTGTAAAATGTAGTTTGGAGAAAGCAGAATGAATAGGGAAAAGGAGAAACCTTTGGTTTCAGGATGAGACAAAGAAGACCCATTAAAGCAGCTGTTATGTGGCAATCCATTTCCCAACGGGTGGGTGTGGATCAACTCCTGAAGAATTGGCTCATTGGATGCATGTGGAAATGTGGAATGATACAGAAAGGGCAAGGTATACAATTCTTGGGCTTCTATTAATAGCTGCAAAGGCAGACAAAAATAATGTAGGGATGAATTGCAGCACTGATTCCAGTCTTGTACCAGTTATGTCAAAGTTATGACCTGTAGTCTCAAGGCTGACTCAGAAAGAAGAAAATAGTGTTAGAACAACAGGGAATACCCCTACACCCGCTGGTCAACAAGAAGGTAGTCCAGGAGAAGAGGGGAAACCAATTAACTACTGAAGCCAGGAGGCATAGTGTAAATGAGTTGTTTCAGTTTGTAGACCAGTACTGTCAGCTTCCTAGGAACTGTTACTAAAAAATGCAGAGTGACTATTTTAGGGACAGTGTCTTTGGTTTTGAATGCTCCTAAATAGAAGAGTATGTTTGCGTTGATGCAAGACCCATAGCTGACAGTCAAAGAGTTGGAATCGATGGTAGTGAGTTTTTTGCTTATAAGCACCGACTGTAAAGAGCAAAACAATGTCTTCAGCAATCACTGTCTGAAAGACTAAATGCCCTAGACACACATACATAAATTCAGTAAATACCTGTCATACTATGTATCATGTACTCTGTTCACTTCTATTTGTGAAG